GCACATTACACCCGTTTTGAAATTACTGCATTGGCTCCCCGTCCGCTTCAGGATCGATTTTAAGATTCTTTTGCTGGTTTATAAATGTCTTAATGGTCATGGGCCGTCTTATTTATCTGACCTGCTTTTAGCATATCAGCCCTCGCGGACCCTGAGGTCCTCTGGTACCGGCCTTTTAACTGTCCCACGAACCACGACAAAGACGCACAGTGAGGCTGCCTTCAGCCACTATGGCCCTTACCCGTGGAACAGCCTGCCAGAGACCCTCAGGGCCGCAGAGACTGTTGATATTTTTAAAAAGAGGCTAAAGACACACCTTTTTAGTCTGGCGTTTAACTGATTTTACTTAAAACATTATTTTTATTTGTTTTAATCTTTTAGTTTCTAGCGTTTAACTGATTTTATTTAAAATATTATTTTATGTGTTTTAATCTTTTAGTTCCTAGCATTTAACTGATTTTATTTAAAATATTATTTTATTTGTTTTAATCTTTTAGTTCCTAGCGTTTAACTGATTTTATTTAAAACATTATTTTATGTGTTTTAATCTTTTAGTTCCTAGCTCCAGTGTCTCCTCATGCGTTCTTCCTCACCAGGACCCTCGGTACAAAGCCATGACGAAATGACGAAATGCAAAACAAAACAACCAAGCACTGTCCTGTGTGTGTATGTTTTGGGTGGGTGGGTGTGCTTGTGTAAGTGATCGTGTCTCTGTGTGTGGGCGTGGGAGGGAGGGGTTTTTATTCTTATTTTTATCTTATCATTCTGTAAAGCACTTTGTGCTACTCCTATGTATAAAAAGTGCTATACAAATAAAATAAATTTGAATTTGAATTTGAATCATTCTTGCCTTTTGTCTCTAATGGTCATGTCTCTTTGATGGGAAGTGATGTAAAAGTTCCTGTTAAAATATTGCGTGATACAGCTGCCTTTGATTCGTTCATTCAGGCTTCTGTGTTGCCATTCTCTGAAAACAGTCACACTGGGAGTTTTATTCCGGTGGTGGGAATGGGAATGACTGTCATAAAAGTTCCACTGCACAAGATGTTGCTGTATTCCAATCTCTTTCAGGGGCAGATAACTGTCGTGGTGCGACCTGCGCTTCCAATTGAGGGCATCACCCTGATTTTGGGTAACGGCGTGGCGGTTGGACGTGTCTGGGCTGATGCTCCAGCTCCGCCGCCACCAGTAGTGTCTGTTGTTCCGCTGGTGAAAAGACAACCAGATGAGAATCAGATCAGTCTTCCTGAAGTTTTTACGGCGTGTGCAGTTACTCGTTCAATGGCACATGACACTCCCGAGTTAAGCTCGGAGGCTGCAAAGAGTAGAGGTGAGATATCGAACTTTGTGCCGTTTTCTCTGTCTGATGTCCCTCTCTCGGTTTCGCAGGAGGAGTTGAAGTTGGAGCAGCGGGCAGATTCTTCTTTGAAAGGGTTGTTTGACCTGGTGTTGCCTGAAGACGAGGTAGAAAATAATTCTTGGGGTTATTTTTTACACAATGAACTGTTGGTCCAGAAATGGATGCCTCATGGCAAAGATTTCGTTGGAGATCCCGTTATCCAAGTCGTTGTGCCTGAGAAATTCCGGGAGTCAGTGTCAAAACTTTCTCATGACCAATCGGGACACTGGGGAGTGAGAAAAACATATGACCGGGTCCTGAGGCAGTTCTTTTGGCTGCGACTTAAGACAGATGTAGCGTAATTATATTAAAACATGCCACACCTGTCAACTCACGGGAAAACCAAACCAGAAAATTACACCTGCTCCTCTCCTCCCGATTCCTGCAGTAAGTCAGCTGTTTGATCACCTCATCGTTGATTGTGTTGGGCCACTCCCTCGCTCTCGTTACGGTGCGGTATATTTGTTGACTGTTATGTGCCAAAGCACCCGTTACCCTGCGGCGTATCCATTGCGCACGATCACTGCGCGTTCAGTCGTGCGCGTGCTGTCGCAATTCATTTCCATATTCGGCATTCCAAAGGTGATCCAGTCTGATCAAGGGTCAAATTTTACCTCCAATCTCTTTGCTCAAGTGTTGAAACAGCTCCATATTAAGCATAACAAAGCCTCCGCTTATCATCCTCAGAGTCAGGGAGTTTTGGAGCGTTTCCATCAGTCATTGAAATCATTGCTGCGCTCTTATTGCGTTCAGCTCGATAGCGATTGGGAGGAGGGATTACCATGGTTAATGCTGGCAGCTCGAGAGGTAACGCAGGAGAGCACTGGTTTTAGTCCCAATGAGTTGATGTTTGATCATGTTGTGCGTGGTCCACTGAATGTTCTTTATGACGAGTGGAAGGTTGCAGAGGCACCGAAAAATCTCATAGACTATGTAAATGGGTTTTGTCATAGACTGTATGCTGCTGGGGAATTGGCAAAGGAAAACTTAACCGCAGCTCAGGACAAAATGAAAAGGCTTTATGACCGGCGTGTTAAACACCGTGTTTTTAGTGTAGGAGACCAAGTTTTAGCTTTGTTGCCGCTAGTAAATTCGCCACTTCAGGCTAAGTATTCTGGGCCTTATAAAGTGACAAAAAAAGTCTCGGAAAACAATTACCTTATTTTGATACCTGAGCGAAGGCGAAAAGTCCAACTGTGCCATTTGAATTTGTTAAAACCATATTATGCTCGTGTTTCAGGTGCTTCCCAAGAGCCTGTCCCAGCTGTTGCGCATCCCGCTTGTTTGGTGGGGAGAGTGTCTACTGTAGCAATCAAGACAACCCTGGGTGTGAAACTCACACATTCCTCACAGGAAAGTTTCCTTATCTGGTCCCAGGACACAGGATATAAATCTTTCCAGACTTGTTTGCACTTTCAGGTTACCTAAATGACCCGACCAGAGGTTGACCAAACCTCTGACTCTTCACGATTGGTCAATTCGGAGAACAGAGACAGAGTTTTTATTACCTTTCAAACTTACTCCATCGCTGACCATCTAAATAAACATTAACTTCAACCCAGATCTCCCATTTGAGATTTACCGTCTACCGTAAAGTGTGTGAACATACGGACCCCAGGATAAGGGGGGACACTGACCTCCAGACCTCGGTCATAAAACCCTGCTCGACCATATACTGATAAATACTGCATTCCTTTGGTGAAAGAATACAAATGACTGATCTTGACATCTTACGCATTCAACAATGTACTAATCTGTCTAATCATGAAATTTGTGTTAAAATGAGATGTTTCCCATTTTTCTATGTGCTCCAGAAGCCAAGTTACCACTCTGACAGAATAAATCCTTTATTCTTTTGTTTCTTTAGACCAACACCTTTTCAGACTGTTTCATGAACTTTAAGAGTTAAATTTATAGACTGTGACTCATAACTTTACTCTAAGTAACAGAAATGGTTTAGAAATGTTTGGTTTATATTTTAGTTGTTCATTTAGTATTTTTAACCATTAGGTGGTTATAATGTCATTGAATAATCTGAATGTAAGTATTTAGAATCCATTATTAATCATGATGAAGTTCATTCACATATGTTTACTCTTTTGTTGTTCACAGTTTCTATGTGTTACTATCTGTTTCATTTCAGAGTAATTTAGCATGTTCAATGTGATACTTAAAACATAATGAGAATGTTTGATGTGATCCTACATTTCATTCATATGTGTTAAGTATCAAATCATTTATCATGAAACCAAGCATTCAATGATATTAATCATAGTGAGTGAGTATCAGATCTGACTCTTTTACCAGCTGAAAGTATAAGTTAGATCAAATAATCAGAGATCCGAGGTCTCCTCTGCAGCTGGAGATTCCACGACCCCTCCTCTTTCTCCTCACACACACACGCCAGAGACACTCCCAGTGTGAGAAGATAAAACCAGTGAAGTGGGGTTGCTCACTCTCTAGTACCTTTGCTCACTCTCTTGTACCCTTGCTCTTCTGCTTACGCTCTTCTCCCCTTTTTGCTCTTCTTGCCCTTACACTCTCTTCTATTATTGCTCTTACTACTTAGTCTTACTTTTTCTTAGTCTTCTAAGTTTTACACCATGTGTTGATTCACGTTGATTTTTCTTTAGCATCGTCTTAGTTCAAGTTTTGAAACTTCAACTTTTTTGTGCGCACAGCAATTCAAGATTAAGCCTTTGATTGATTTTTCTTTAATTTCGCGAAGCCATTTTTGAAAGTTTTCTCTGCTCATCGAGCCTCGTTTTTCTGAGTTATCTGCGTGATTTCAAAGTCACCTCTGAATGCCACCCAGCAGGCCCAGGTCATCCTCTGTGCCAGAGTTTTTGAGTGAGACCAAAGAAGTGTCCAAACGAGCATCCACAGGATCCACAGGCGCCGGCTTTACTTCAGGCCCGAGTGCTACAACTCCTGGCCCATCCTTCGGCTGACTTCAGTCGTCTTCTGAGCTGAACCGCTTGAACCGCCAGTAGCCCCGGACCTCCGGAACCTGCTCCATCTTCTCCAAGGACCAGTCTCACTTAAGTATGCAAACCTCCGGAGCTCCAAAGAGGGCTGATGCTGTCTCATGCGTTCATAACTCAGATATCCACTTATTCTGGTAATCTTAGATTCCTCCAAATCCACATCCGAGTTTATCTCGACACCAAAGTTAGAGTAGGTTAATATGTTAGCGCATATTCACTCACTATCATTAACTTTAGTGCTCCTAGCCTGACTCAGAATCTTAATTTATTCACCTATTATTATTTATCCTCATTATCTTATCATCATTTATTGCATGTATGTTGTGCCATCATTTATCCTGTAATAAACAGATCATTATTTTTCTAAGTTCTTGTCTGTTAGTGTTCTTCCAGAAGTGGAGTCCCTGAAATGAGAATTTCGGCTAAAGATATGAGATTGATTAATTAATGATTGACTTGATGTTTGATTTCTGAATTAAACTTTAGTTTTCTTTATTTTCCCACCATTAAGGGTGGGTGGTGCCCCTTTCAACGAGTGCATAAATGTCATAATTTGAGATTATTAATCTTCAGACATTTATTGTAAATTCAAATCGCTACACTACTGTTTATCCCCCACAGTCGGTGTCCGCTGAGGTGGAGGATGGTTTGCCTTGTGTTGATTCCGCTGTCCTTCAAGGCCGCCTCAACAACTCGGAGTCCCTGAGGAATCTACACGTCCTCTTGGGGCATTTAGCAGAGTCAGAACAGGCAGATTTGTGTCAGGTAATAAAATCTTTCCCGGGCTTGTTCAGTGACACACACAGACGCACTTGATTGAGTACGACATCGATGTCGGAGATGCGCAGCCAATCAGGCAAAGATTCAATAGGGTGAACCCCGAAAAACGTAAGTACATGGATGCTGAAATAAAATATATGCTTGAAAACGGAATAGCTGAACCCTCCTCTTCAAGTTGGGCATCACCATGTCTTTTGTTGCCAAAATCAGATAACACGCTCAGGTTTTGTTCTGATTTTAGAAAGTTGAACGCTGTTACAAAGCCGGACTCCTTCCCTCTTCCCCGTATGGAGGACTGTGTCGATCAGGTGGGCCATGCCAAATATGTGAGCAAGTTTGACCTTTTGAAAGGTTATTGGCAAGTCCCTTTGTCCAAGCGTGCGCGTGAGTTAACGGCATTTATAACTCCGACCGGTTTGTTTTCATATAGGGTAATGCCTTTTGGGCTTCGTAATGCCCCTTCGACCTTCCAAAGGCTTATGACGAGAGTCTTGGGAGATTTGGAAGGCTGCACAGTCTACCTGGATGATGTTGTGGTTGTTTCTGACACGTGGTCTTCGCATGTTGAGCGAATTGACAAGTTGTTTAGTCGTTTGGCTGAGGCACGTCTCACAGTCAACCTCGCCAAATGCAAGTTCGCAAAAGCGACAGTGACTTATCTTGGTCGAGTTGTGGGGCAGGGTACGGTACGTCCCGTTGAAGAAAAAATAAAAGCAGTGGCAAGTTATCCGGTACCCTCGACTAAAAAAGAGCTTATGCATTTTTTAGGTCTTGTAGGTTATTACCAATGTTTCTGCAGAAACTTCTCGGAGGTAGTTGCTCCATTAACAGACTTGTTAAAGGCAAGCGCGGTCTTTGTGTGGTCGCCCGCGTGTCAACTGGCGTTTGACAGAGCAAAGTCAGTTTTGTGTAATGCGCCTATCCTTTCTGCCCCCACGTTTGACCGTCCCTTTGCGCTTCAGGTTGACACGAGTCACGTGGGGGTGGGGGCGGTGTTATTACAGAAGGATGATTTTGGGATTGAGAAGCCAGTGAGTTTCTTCTCAAAAAAGTGTAACTCCTACCAACTCAATTACTCGACCATTGAAAAGGAAGCCTTGGCCTTAGTGTGGGCTCTGAAACATTATGATGTGTATCTGGGGTCCGGGATGGTGCCTATCGTGGTTTATACTGATCATAATCCGTTTGTTTTTTTAAATACGTTACAGAGTCCAAATCAAAGATTAGTCCGGTGGTCACTTTATCTCCAGTCACACTGGCTGGACATTAGACACATCAAGGGTTCTGACAATGTGGTGGCAGACGCCTTGTCCAGAGCACCTGTGTAGTGTTGTAGCCGTGTGAGTTACCCATGTTTTTTTTTGTACTCTTTCTTCAACTTGTTTCTCTCTCTTCCCCCTCTTAAATTGCTCCCAGGTACCAGGTTGCTGAGGTGGGAGGGGTGTCATGCAGGTGAGGATGGGGATATAAATAATGAGCATTAGGTAAGTTTTTCTCAAGAGAGTAAAATGATATTGTGAGCCTGGGTAAGTTTTGTAAGGTAATGGTAATATTATTATATTGACAATGGAAAAAAAATGTAGGTTAAGTAAAATGCCATGACATAGTATTGATAATGAAAAGAAAAAAAATGTTTTTCTCTTGTTTTGTATTGGACTAGTAAGTTACAAGTGAACCTTGTTTTCAGAGAGCATTGTTTATGGTTCCGGGGATGGGAGCCCTGTTTTTATGGAGGGGGGTGTGACGGCCTCCTGCCTGTGACGGCCTCCAGGGTTTGCTGTTGTGTTCTTTTTTCTTTTCTCTCTCCCTGGCAGGTTGGTGAGTGGGCTTAGCCACACCTGCGTGGATCTGGCCATTCCACCAGGTGTTAAAAGCCCTCATTAAGGACCAGTGTCTCTCTCTCCCTCCTCCACTGCGCACCACGGCAGTGATCCTCGTGGCACAATGTTCTGTTTTAGTTTAGAAGTTCTGTTAGTTTAGTTCTTTTCTTGGGTAGTCAAAAATTAAATTAATCTTGGTTGTTAATAAATCTTTCATTTTAAGTTTAAACCCGTACGCCTCGCAATCTTTTTCATGGCTTTTGAGCCGGGTCATGACAGGCCAGTTAATAAGTTAAGGTATTTGGTTATTTGATTTAATGTACTCAATTCATTACTGATATTTGATCATTTAAAGGTGAACATAATTGAAGACATTTCTAAGGTTAAATATTTCATAATCTGAAGGTTACATGATCAATTGATCGATAACAGTGTTGTTAGTTAAAAGTCACCAGTAACAGTTTTGCCTCTAGTTAGGGCAATTTATTTTGTTTTGCACTTTATTTCATTGTTTTGATAAAAACGGTTTTCCTTTTATGTTATTCCTTTTTTCCCTAAAACAAATTCCTGTTCTCTAACTCATCTTTCTAACTAAAATATCTATAAAATTCACGTGGTGTTGTCTGCCTTAGTTATTTTAAAAAACAAGTTGGATCCTATAAAGAACTCATAGCCATCCTATTACCTAGGATAATAAGGGCTACATGTATGTATTGTATGTATGCAAGGTCACACAATTAAAAAACAAGCAAAAACATTTATCATTTCAAAAAAATGTTTATAAAATTTAAACTTGAAGGATATGGACAAACCTTGGATGTATAAGGGCAGGTTAAGGGTCTTTGAAGGTTTTGTATTTCTGAGTATGACAGTTCTGATTCTGACTTTTCTCAGTATTTATTATACATTTGTTTGTTAATGTTTTTGTATTGTTTTGTTTTCTTTTGTGTTCTTTTTCTTTTATGTTATTAGGTACAAATGATGTACAGCAACCCATTTATGCTGTGTGATCTGTTCCACTCAATCATGTTTGCTCACCAATCTAATCATGTCTCAAATTGTCTCTGTATTATATTCTGGTATTGTTTTTGAGGTTGTCTCTTCACCTTGATTGATTGTAAGGGCTCTATTTTCGTGCCTCGCCGGAGACGTGCCGCGTCAGTCAGATCCGCCGCGCTGACAAGGCGTTCCCAAGCACATTTTGGTATTTTAGTGAGCCGTGCAGCCCGGCGTAAGTATCCCCCCTCCCTAACTCAGCTCCTCCCAGCAGCATAAGTCGTAGACGGGGAGGAGAGAGGGCGTGGAGTGGTTTTAACACAGCCGAGACCTGTTTTCACCAATCACATAAGCTCCTCTCCTTGCCTTTAAATCCACCACAGGCGAGGCGTATTACTATTTTCATGAAGTAGTCAAAGAGATCAATGCTGTGTCCGAATTGCCCGCTCGGATACTACATGCTACTGCTACATACTACTGCTAGATCCTACTCCTACATACTAAACACGTTGGCCCAATTCGGACACACTAGACGAGAGGTGGGGAAAGACGGCCCCCGCAGGCAGAGAGTAGGTACTGCACCCGTGCAGACAGTGGTAACTGAAGCCCCTCATCTGCGGGCCTGGCTGTAGTACTGCAGCTGTGCAGTTTAATGATGGAATGAGTGAGCTTTACCTCCATGATGTCGCCACATATTTGCTCATAAAATGATTACTTGGGCAAATATGACACCATGACATGACAAAGAGATACAACCGCACATTTTTAGAACAGTGTGTGAAGTTACATGAAACTTACATCTGTACTGCTGCGGTCCCGCCTGCTGCTGCTCCGACATGGTGCGCGCTGCTGTGGCCAGCCGGTGTTCGCGACGCATCTATGCTGGTGGCACTAGCATCACATGCGCTTCTACAACTTTTAAGAGGACGAAGAAGAAGCCCGCGGTGCATTTTGGGTCAGTAGCATGCCCGTAGGATGCACCGCGACCAACCTACAATGTGGGAGTGTCTAGTATCTGAAGTAGTATCTGAAGTAGCATGCTACTCGCTCCGGTGGCCAATTCGGACATGCTAGATACTACTTCGACTACTACTTCGACTACTACTTGGCAATTCGGATGCAGCTCAAGAGATGTCTGAAGACAGTAATGCCACAAGATGGCGACAGAGGGCAGCTCCTCAACAAGTGTCCTCCACACTCTCTCATATGAACACAGATGGATTTGGTGTGTGTAATGTTGGACCCAGTGGTAAGACAAACACCCTTTTCCACAAATAAAGACACTCACATAAAGTTGCTCATATTCAAACCTTACGTGACAAAGGTGGGTTGAGCGCACAGATCACAACATAAACTCCAAAAATGGGATTAAAATCGGAACCATCTGTGCGTAAATGACGCATCGCGCTCCGTGGCCTGGCTCTTTCTTTCATAGATGTTGGCATATCAAATAAATTTGGCCCACAAAACTGAATATTAAAATATCCGTATGTAGGCTTAAAGTAGATAACGCATCTGAGCACTAAAACAAATCATCTGTTCAGCCGCAGCAGCAGCAAGACGGACAGAGGACACGGAGACGTGTCCAGGTCCAGCTGTGCGAGAAATAAGAGGAAGAGGAAGAAAGAAAAGGAGGGAGACGAATTACATATCTTGTTAACTTCATCATGTGTGTTTATTTACTAGATATTTAATTTAATTTGATGCGGTTTCAGCTGTGTTGATTCGGTCAGGTTGTGTGTCCAAACGCGTGCCAAACGCGCTCATCAGATCAGATATAGATCAGAATATATCTTTCGATCTAAATGTATGTGCTGACTCAGATTAATAGTTGATGATGATTATTTATTGCACTGAAATGTGCCTGACACTGTGGAAACCTGCCGGTGAGGCATCAGTGACGTATGTCGATACGCTGCCGGTCTACCAAAATACTACTAGACCAGCTGCGCTCCGCCATGCACTGAAAGCTGACCAGGTTTGAATCGGCGAGCTTTCAGCGCACTTTACACGCCGGTGGCGAGCACGAAAATGTCACTGCGCCAGCTGATTCTGTCGACACCTCCCCCTGCCACGCCACCACGCCCAGCTTGGCGGATCTCGGCTCGCCTCCGTGCGGCTCAGTCCACGAAAATACCAAACTGGCCTTACGCCGGGCTCCGCCAGACGAAAATACAACTGCGCGGGGCTCGCCGCCCTCCGCCGCCTCACCGGCGCGCACGAAAATAGAGCCCTAAGTGTCACAGTGGCAAGGGGGTAGGTTCCTTATAAGCCTTGGCTTCTTACCTATCCTTTTCGTATGTATATGTTTTGTCATTCATACGAAATAAACAATCAATCACAGTGATGGACCATGAGCAGACAACAGTCTGAGCTGATCTGTTAAGACAAAGAGCGACTCCCAGCCAAAGTCTATTTATTCATAATTTATGAAAGTAAGTTTCATTTGTTTTCTAACAATTATGGAGATTTCTTTTTTCTGGATAAGAACTGAAATGAAGATTTAAAGTTCCTGGAAAGGACATCATCACTAATCTAAGACACCATGAAAAAACTGAGACTTTCGATACAAGCTAAAAAGATTGGTTCTAGTTAAATGAAGGCAAATAAAGATAACAGCTGAGCAGGGGTGTAAACAAATGTCTCATTAGTCTTCAAGGCAAACAGACTTAAGAAAATGTAGTTTCCCAATAATGGTGAAAAATTAAATCAAATAAAATAAATGAATGATGACTAAATATAATTTATCAGGATAACAGCACAAATGAATAAGTCCACTTTCTGGTAACTCATGGTCCACAACAATGATTTGAATAAAGTCAGATCATGTGTTTCCAGTGTTAAAACCAGAACCCCCCCCCCAAGCCCTTTCCTGCTTTATCTCCTGCCTCCACTCTGAACAGCTTTTTTTAAGTCCACTCTGTTAGAAGATTTACAGCTGGTTGCTGAAGTGGAAGTTGGATTACTCTCCTTGTTAAACATGCTGACAAGATGTTCAGCCATGGTTTCCTCAGTGACGTCTGTGTGAGGGACAGAAACTCAAACAAGCACAGACGAAAGGTTCAGTGGTGTCCAAACACAGACCAGTCAAACATCTCACTCATCTACCCATTAACACTCCCTCGCCCTATCATCGTGAGCTAATTTTCTCTCTGGGTCCTAAACTTTATCAGCTCCCTGCTGCATGAACCGCCGTATAAAGCAAAACATGTAATAATAACCAGAGTTCAGGTGATCAGCTGATCCAGAGTTTAACAGCCGATCCAGAGTTAAACAGCTAAACCAGAGGTGATCAGCTGATGATGTACAGGGTTTTGCTTTCTTCACTTTCTCCTCTTTCCTTCTCTTGAATCTCTCTGTGCATCTCTGGTGGACGGGGCTAAGACACAAGTGAAAGGTGTCAGTGAGGTATGCCAGAGTGAAACTTACCACAAACCACATGCATGGGCCTAAATGGTCTGCACACAAACCATTGTCGTACCAGAAGAAACAAAACAAACTGAGTTTTTTTTTTTTCTGTCATCTTCATGTAAAGAGGTGTTTGATCTGGACAATCACTACTGCGGGCCAAGGAGAGTTGAGGGACAAATAAACTGTTAAGGCATAAGGGTTATATTGTGATGCATGTCACTAACCCTCACAGTGTGGACAGATGGATGATTATATAGAGTTCTGCTTGAGCACCTGCCACCTCAGTGTTTAAGAGTGGAACGAGCTGTGCATCCCGTTTATCAGCTGTGGCACATTACCCTGGAGGAGCTGGGTGGCATTTCAGAGAGGAGATCAGCAGACAGGGCTGGAGGAGAAGAGAGGAAAGGAGAGGAGAAGAGGGGAGAGGAGTGGAGAGGAGAGGATCTGTGTTTAAATTTAACCTGTGGCAGTTGTTCGTCAAAGAAAACAAAAAGAAAACTCCCTCCAAAACTCAGTGAAGATAAGTAAGCAATGTTCCTGGGACTGTTTGGCTGCAAAAGGCTGTAAGCTTATGTTAACAGCAGCTCTGTGTGTTATCAGCATCTCGGCTGAACCTGCATCCTCAGATTGATCATTTCAGGTAGTTAATTGAGTCAGCGTCATATTTCCTTCCAACAATTACTGCAGCAAATCAA